TCCCTCTTGAAAGCTTGTAAGTCAGTCACTTCTTGCCTTTGTAGCCCCCGCCCCCCATTTTGGGTAGCCAATGTCCAAGTTGCCCATCCCTGTCTACTCTGTGTGTGGATGGGGTGGGAATGATTCTTGCTGTAAGGACTTGTTCCCTCTTTTGAGCTACTGCTTCCATAGGTGTAGATAATATACATTTTTGACAAACGAAATATTTTTTTAAAAAGTCACCCTTTTAGAGAAGAGCAGAGAACGGAACCCTACCCAGAGAAGCAGTGATGACAGCGATGGAGGCAGAGACGATGTGGAGAGATGGAGTGGCTGGGGACTTTAGACCCAGAGAGGGAGAGGGGCTGTGTGCGGACCACCCGGGGCGGGGGTGGGGGGGTAGGTTTGTGGGGTATACCCTTTGGTTAATGGATGATGCTTGGAGGGGATTGTAACCATGGCAAGGAAACAATATACGATGGGATCAATGTGAAGCTAATGTCCTCCCATGTAAACTATCACATAATTCACAATAAAGCATTAAAAAAAAAAAAAAATCACCCTTTTAAAATTAGTCTTTTTTCTTTTCCTTTTTCTGTTGGCTCTACAAGGGATTCCTTTTTCTCCCTTTAAAGGGTAGCGGGGATATTTTACATTTCTGCCCAAGTAGTACAAGAAGAAAACCAATTCCAATGAATGGGTGTTCTAATTCTAAGCAGTTTAATTATTATAATTTTAGAAACTTGCCACAAAAATTTTCATAGTAAACAAAAGAGGTGAGAAGTACTCAAAATTAAGTAAATGGCCAAACATATTTCCCCCAATACTCTTAATAATTGGGGGGAAAAAAGCTATCCATATTTTTTTATTTCTAAAAGCCAAATTTAATAAATTAATATATGCATGCCCAATAAAAATACAAAATCACAACTTTAAACCAATTAATAATTTAACAGCAACTGCTCTGTGTTGTACATTTTTTATTGGTATGGATAACTTATTAAAGTAACAAATCTGAAGACACATTTTGTTTCTGCTGGAGAGAAAGTACTATGTTATAGAAGAACTAAGAGAAACCAGAAAATAAACCACTGAGGAAAGCAGACATATAATATAGTCTATGGCAGTGCAAAGGGCCAGAAGCGCTGCTTTATCCATTTGCGAGTGTATGTTTCAATAAGTGTATCAGAGACCAATGACATTGAACCCAAAAGCAAAGTCACGACAGGTTTACTCTGAAGCATGCTGGGTTACAACCACAAGCTGCCCTGGACCAAGAGGCTATGCAGGTTTGTTGCTTTCTTTGTATGGGGTTCGCTTGCCAAATAGGGGGCTAATCATGCAATAGCTTGAGTTTCTCTTAACATGATAAACACCCAGGCTCACTAGAACTGGAAAGCGTGTATTCACTGTTTTACAAGGACAGCTGAGCGGCACTACAAAAACAACAAAAAGTTCCTTCATTTTAATCTGTTATATGCCCAAACCTCTAACCAAGAAATAATTCAGCCAATTAAATTACTATAAAACATTCCTTCATATCTGTAAAACATTTCTTTTTCCCCTCTCAAAGATTTAAAATAAAATGTCTTCATTTTTGATAAGCAGCTCCACTACCAGTCTCTGGTATCGAATGTCATTCAAGGCAGCCATTGCATCCAGCTCTGGAGATCGCATCAGGGTCGGGCCAAAAACAATCCCAAGGTTCTCAGCATTCATAAGATTCTCCTTTTCATGAAGCGTCACTCTGAAAAGCACAAGGGCAGGAGCACATGATGTTGTATAAGTCAGGGGCTTCTTTACAGAGTGTGGGCATTAAAAGAGCAAGAGCCACACGATGGTTTGTGCCACTTGTAATGCAGCAAATCATCCCTAAGCCAGTCCTCTGTTACATCATGTAACTTCAAAGCACTCATGTTCCTTAAAGTAAATGAAGTTCAGAAGAAGTTAAAACTGCTGGTGACTCACTGGGTTTCAAGCCTGGGTAAAATGTTGGACGTTGGACTGTGTGGGCTTAGTTCTACATGGGTAGTTAGTTATCTGCTACACCGAGAACTGTAGAGGTGGGTGTGAAAATGGTAGAGAAGACATGGGGACATCCCCCCTCCGTCTTCTGGGTTGCTTGTTTCCATAGAGGATTTCTGCAAGTCAAACAGTTGATGGAGTATCTAGGGAGAGGGGAGCAGAGAGTACAAGGAAATGGCTCAGGGTAAGCAATGCTGCCGGGGTGCTCAAACGTTCATTTTCTTTGTATGCCACAGCAGTTGCACAGAGACTATAATTTGAGAGTTGTTCCTTTGATTCAGTGTGGAGTATTTAATTACATCCAAATATGAAGCAAACTTGAATTGCCAAGTGAAGCTGCAAGCATATTATGGGAAGGTTTTAACTCATGTAGTTAGTGTGAGAAATAGCTCTTGGGGTGATCCATCTTCAGGATTAAGGGGAATCTTTTGGGGGAACAGGCTGGCCTAACAAAAGAAGCTCAGAAGGGAGGAAGAGACTAGTTTGACCAGCTGGACTTTTAAAATAAGAACATACCCATCAAAGAAATAGGGGAATTTCATGGGAAGTGGGGTTGGGGAGGTGGGGAGTACATGGGGGGGTGGTGTGGAAACTAACTTTAAATGAGACTGCTCCCAGTAAGGACTAGTATGGGACATACAAGAAAGACTGTAAACTCCCAAACACCCAGGAAAAGGAGAAATGGAGAAGGTGAAGTGTTCGTGAGCTGGCCATGCCTCACATCTGCCAGTGTCTGACGCCCAATTTTGCAAAATTGAATAAACAGGCCTCTCTCTTGCTAAAATGAGTACAGGTTGGATTTCTTGAGCGTTTGTGGGTAAATACCCATGATAACCCACTGGCAACCTTATATGGGATAAGGCGGTCCACCCCAGTTCTCTGTCCAGAGTCCCATAGGGCTAAGGTCCAAATCAGGGGTTTATACCGATCAGCTAGTGCTTAAAAGGGGCCAAGGCAGTGTCCGGGGTTCCGACAGCGTTTCTCACAGTTAGATATCAATGAGACCAAGTAGTCATTTCTGTTAAACACGTGAGTTATGTAGAAATGTTCAACTGTTCTGACTGCAGTGAATTTAATATGTTCTAAATAAAATTAGGCAAAGCAGACGCCCAAGTGCTGCTGTCTTTTTTTCCTTCTTTTCTGACGGGTCTATGGGTTTTATGAAATTTGAACTGTTGACCTTATGGTTCACAGTCCAGTGCTGATCCTATAGTACCACACCAGGAGTTTCTGTGAAGACACTGGTGGTGGTGGTGATGGTGGTTATGTGCTATAGTTGGTTCTGACTCATAGGACATAGGGAGCAGAAACTTTTGTTTTTTCCCTGATGGGTCTAATAAAATTTGATCATATAATTTCGAAAATGGCTTTAATTTGTAGAGATTGAGGGTAAGCAAGCAGGGGAATAAAGCTATGCTACTTTAAAACATTAGACCAGAACGAATGGAAACATAATTTTATTTGCCTTTCCTCCCTTTCTCTACTCCACCACTTTTTATGCTAGTTTTCAGCTCTGGCAATATGTAAGTCAATAATTGAAAATCCCATCACAAAGTCTGAAGGGCCTACTGTTTAAACAAGAAGATTAAGGAAAGTGACCCTTTGTGGCGGCTGAGCTACTTCACTCTGCTTTGTCAGATGCTAGCACAGTGGTTACAAGTTGGGCTGCTAATCACAAAATTAGCAGTTTCACAGAAACTCCTGGTGTGGTACTGTAGGATCAGCACCGGACTGTGAACCATAAGGTCAACAGTTCAAACCTACCAGTTGTTCCTCAGAAACCCTTTACAGGTCCCCACGGCTCACAACGAGTCGATGACACCTAACAACAACAACAACAGTGTCTTCAGAGCTGCAGCCATTTTCTCTTCCATAAATATTGCTGCATGTCTTTAAGAGAATACTGGTATTCCCAGCACATCTGCAAGCATGCTAGAACTGCAAACATATTTATGTCCTAATCAAATCTGCATGTAGCATTGTAATGCTGAGTATTTTTAGCATTCTTTTTCAATTATGGCACTTTTACCCAGGACGACAATGTAGCTAGCATTTATTTATTCATTCAATAGAACATTTGTCTCCTTTTTCACCTTTCATTCCATTTTATTTTTAAAATTTGGATGCAACACAAGTCTCCGATGAGAAGCCCGTGACTTGCCTCTTTAGGTGTGCCATGAGGTACCGGAGGGTTTCGCAGTGAGCAGGCGGCAGCAGGGTCAGGGCTTCATGAAGGGTTTCCAATTGCTCATCGGGATCCATAATTTCTGAAATAGCAAGATGGACACCACGGAGAAACGTGAACAAACTCCTACTACAAATGGTTCATGGAATTCTTCTCTTATGGTGACTGAAATCTGGTAAAGACATGCTTTCTCACAGATCCTTGCCCACAGCTCTGGAAAGTAATTAAGTTCAAGTCTCAGATTTCCAAAGATTTCCCTGACTTTCAATTTGGCAACACTCTTCATTTAGACTTTTGGAAGGTGAGGGAGCATCTTGTCTTTTCACGTCAATGTTTTCGAAGTCTAGAACCCAGGAAAGAAGGGGTTCTAGTGATGCAGTGGTTAAAGTACTTGGCCACTAACTGAAAGTTCACTGGTCTGAACCCACTAACTGCTCTGCAGGAGAATGATGTAGCAGTCTGTCTTTAAGGATTGTTGACAGCTGCTGTCAAATCGGTTCCGACTCATAGTCACTCTGAACAGGGTAAATTTCTGCAAAAGCGGAAAGCCTCATCTTTCTCCTGCAGAGTGGCTGATGGGCTTAAGCCACTGATTTTGTGGTTCGAGGTCCAGTGGAACCTACAGTTACCACATTCCCTTCTTTAAGGATTATACCGTTGGAAACCCTATGTCCTATAGAGTTGCTATGCGTTGGAATATATGCTCGACGGCAGTGAGTCTGTAGGGTTCTGGTTGTTATTGTTAGTTGACACTGAGTTGATTCTGACTCTTGGCAATTCCATGTGTTGCAGAGCAGAAGGGCTCCATGTGGTACTGGCTGGATTCTGAACAGAGCAGATTGTCAGACTGGTATTCTGCAGTACCACTGGGTGGGTTCTAACCAGCTTGAAGGTTAACAGTCAAGTGCAAACACTTCATGCTATCCCAGGGCCTGGAGAGATGGAGTATTAACTATAAAAAAAATCAACCTCATATGTGGAACTTATAACTGACACATTCACATGAGCCATCTTAGAACACTGCAGGCTCATTACAGTGCTACTGGATTGTTCAACATAGTTTTGAACAATATTCATGGGTTTTTCCTAATTAAACCAAAAAGCATATCGTCCAATATTCACTCCTCTTATTCACTAAACCTAATTTTAAATTAGGAGTTCTTGTAGCGTTGTGGTTACAAATCAGGCTGCTAATCTCATGGTCAGCAGTTCGAAACTACCAGCAGTTCTGCCTGAGAAAGATGAAGCTTTCTGCTTCTGTAAACATTTACAGCCTTGGAAACCCTAAACAGGGTCACTATGACTCCCCAGCACAAAACCACCATTACCACCACCAATTTTAAATTACCTTGTGTTATATTAAATAAAAAAAAAAAAATCAAATTTGCTTGCAAAGTAGAAAAATTTTCTATTATTTCAGATATTCAGAAGGGGCTCTGGCTCTGGTGGTGTTGTGCGTTAGACTGCTAACCTTAAGGTCGGCAGTTAAAACCCACCAGTTGCTCTGAGGGAGAAAGATGAACCTGTCTTTTCCCAGAAAGATTTACAGTCTCAGAGATCCTGTATAGGGATACTGCATTTACAGTCTCAGAGATCCTGTATAGGGATACTGCAAGTTGAAAGGAGTCCTGGTATGGCACTGTAGAATCGGCACTGGACTGCTAACCTCAAGGTTCAAACCCACCAGCTGCTCCTTGGAAACCCTATACAGGGTCGCTATGGTTGGAATTGACTTGGTGGCACTTGACAGCAAGTTGAGTGGAGTCCTAGCGTGGCACTGTATGATAAGCACTGGACTGCTAACTGCAAGGTCGGAGGTTCAAATCCACCAGCCACTTCTCGGGAACCCTATACAGGGTGGTTATGGTTGGAATTGACCCAATGGCACTTAACAAGTCAAATGGAGTCCTGGTGTAGTACTGTAAGATAAGCCCTGGATTGCTAACCACAAGGTCGGCAGTTGACACCCACCAGCCACTCCCTAAGAACCCTACACAAGGTGGCTATGAATTGAAACAACTCAATGGCAGTGAGTTGGGCTAGTCACAGGTACGCACTGCAAACTTGGAGTTTGATTCCATGTTTGGTGTGATGACTGGTGATGGTTATGTGCCGTGGAGTCAGTTCAGACTCATAGCGACCTGGTACAGGGTTTCCGAGGCTGTAAATCTTTAAGGGAGCAGAAAATCTCATCTTTTTCCTGTGGAATGGCTGGTAGTTTCATACTGCTGACCCTGCGGTTCACAGCCCGATTCGTAACCACTACATTATCAGAGCTCCTTGGCGTGATAACTGGACTCCTACAATTACCAAAAATACAAACTTAGAAGGAGCCATCTTCATTTGGATACGCTGGTTCTGCTATATTGGCCAAATATCTGGCCACATTTCCTTAAGTGACAGATTACATTCTAGTATCAAACATCCCCCAAATAAGAGATGATGGCATCGTTGGAATTCTGTGCTCTCAGAAAGAGTACCATATCACATTCCTGTTTCGACCCAAAGGTGCACCTGACCCAAGCCATGCATGGTATTTTCAATCGTCTCATATGCATGTGAAAGTTGGACAATGAATAAGGAAATTGTTGTTGTTGTTGTTGTTGCTGTTAAGAGCCATTAAGTTGGTTCCCACTTACAGGGATCTTATCTAGGGTTTCCAAGGAGTAACTGGTGGGTTTGAACTGCTGACCTTGTGATTCACAGTCCAGTGCTGATCCTACAGCACCACACCAGAAATCTGAACATAGAAGAATTGATGCATTTGAGTTATGGTGTTAGAGGAGAATATCAAAAGTATTATGGACTGCCAAAAGAAAAAACCAATCTGTGTTAGAATGCTCTTTGGAAGACAGGATGGCCAGACTTCATCTCTCAGTGTTTGTTCCGCTGTTTATAAGGTTACTATGAGCTAGACCCAACTCGACAGCATGTAACACACAACAGCCTAAATGTCAGGAAGCTGGGGTGTCTTTAAATATTGGTTCAAACACTATAACAGGAACTAGACTGCCAAGTGCTGGACAGGACAGTAGCTTTGAATGACATTAGACCTGAAGGTATAGCCAAGGCCCTAAACCAAGAATCCTATTGTTCTAACTTGTACTTACAAAAGAAACCAACTCAAGGGACTTTAGATCCACAGAGGGAGAGGGGCTGTGTGCTGATGACCGGGGTGCAGGCTT